CGTGTAGTCATGAATCATAACTTACATGACATGCATGTCATGATTTTCATATCATACTAGTTTCGCAAAATGAACAAAACCACCGCAAAAGCAGCAAGACTAAGAAATGTTAGTTATGACATTTATGACATACATGCCATAATTCCCACGTTATGACTAGTCAGTTCTGTTCGTCATACACTCATGTTATATCATACACAGTTTGGTATCGTTACCATTATCCGAACGGCCAGGAGAGCTAAAAGTCATAGGTGACTAGATAGATGGATAAGTAGAAACGCTCAAAGTCGCCGAAGTTCACTAAGAAACGCTTCTCATTTAATAACTTTGTCATGGACTTAAAGCTGTCGCACCCAGCCACCGTGACTAAGAAAAGTGACCACTTTCATTTTTTGATATATAGGAGACGGCGGCCCAAGGCAGCGTGTAAAAAGGACCCGGGCACTCAAGAAGAACTGGGCCCAAGTGGTGGGATGGAAATTTATCATATACAGGGTAAGACGTCGAATGCAAACAAAATGATTTGCCTGACAGAAGGAAGAAGGAATCACCTTATGTACCGCAAATAATAATACGTCATTGATGTACACAGTTGACTTCAGTGTCAACTTGGCCTCTGTTTTGTGTATCTGCGTTCTTTCCTGTCCTCGTCGATTTTGCGCTTCCAATATTTAACATTATGAATTAACTAGCCCAGCTACTCATTGTTTTAAGCAACATGGCTTCAGTGTGTTGTATCAGTCTTAACTTACGTAACAATCGTCCAGAAGACATTTCATTGTGCCCCGTTCTGCATAGACTTTATATTGCAATAAAAACCGCCTTTCCCGCGTAGGTGTCTCAGGTCATCTTGAAAATAACGTAACAAAAAATTATAAGAAAACTTCTATTTACCCTAAAGATAATTATTAGCTGGTTTTGTTTTCTCCCTTGTCCTTGTATTGAAGTTCCTCTCGTTTTAGGGGCGAAGTTCTTAAAGGCGTGGGTCTGTACATCTCTCGTATGTACGTACGTGACCGCTTATAGTTCCACCTTTGCCGACTGGCCATTACATCGTCCTTGCAAACATCCCACTAAGCCCCATCCCCGATCCACCACTTAAACGACCATGAAGCAAATACTGTTGAGAAGTAGTCAATATTAAATGTAAGATGTTCGTGTTCTTGTATCCAGGTGCGCGTTGAAGAACCATAGATTGGCCTACTGCGTCCATACGTAGTTTGTACGTGACCACCTATAGTTCAACCTTTGCAAACTGCCCACTACTGTGTCCTTGAAAACATCCCATTACGTCCCATCAGCGATCCTCCACTTTACCGACCATAAAGCCGTTATAATAAAGGGAGAACGGAAGTGATGCACTGTTACCACTTACATATAATATTTTTGTATAAATAAACACAGTGTTTAGTTACGTCTTTGATGATGTAGTGGACGATATTCGCGGATGGTTTACAGTTTAGCGATGAAACCCTCCAGCGCTTGGCCACACTCATCATCATTCACTCCGGGAATATGGTTAATTTTTTTTCGTATTAGTGTTTTTTTACGGTATCTTGAGCAGGTGCGTCTCTATCACACTGCCTGTGAAAATCGCTGTCATGGCTTAAATTGGCTTAAACTACGCATTGTAGTTTTGTATTACGAAATGAATTCTCACAGTGTTTCAAATTAACCCAGCGTTTCACTACACCCCAAATTCAACCCCGAGTGAAGTTTTTGCTTCGGCCAGGAAGTTAGAGCTTTTTTTTACTATTTTCCTTTCTATGGCCTGGAAATCGTTTCGTGACCTGATTAAGATTCTACGACAGTCCATGTTACCTCCACCGTGGATCAACCCCAATACAGCACTATCACACAATTCGGCTACAAGTTAACTCGAGAGCGTTAGAAAGCTCGTTTAACAGAAATTATAGTGTCGGTCACGTTGTCGGTGAGCGAATAATTTCACTTTGTACGTAACCAAAAAATTGACTAAGATGTAAAAATAAAAAAATAAACAGTCAATAAATATCTTCGGATCCACCGAGAATTAAACCCAAGCTGTCGGCGTAGCATGCGGGTGCTCTACTACAGAGCGTTGTGTTGCGTGAGACTGCTTGGGAAGAAAATCTGTATTCAATTCATGTAGACGAAGAAATCATCTAAAAACATGTAATAATCGCGTGGCAAGAGCGCAGTATCACGCCAGTTGTCAGAACACTTGAATAGCGCAACGAGTAAGTGTTTTAAAGGCCCACCTATTACAAAGCATTCACCCATGTTTAAGCATCGTCACCTACAAATGCATCAACAAAATGAGCAGCTGCGTAGGCTCACGTGTTGCCTTACGGACGCATTCTGGGCCCTTCATCGATTCCAAAAAGGAAAAAAAAATACGATGCAGTGGGCACTTAGCAACTCTACTTGAAAGAGGTCTTTTGAGATAGTTTCAGGTGGTCAATGTTACGGGACAGGCGTTCGTTTTGTTACGGCATCGTGGAGGCATGCGCCGAGAACCGAGGGCAAGCTAGCAATTGAGAAATGCGCATAGAGTCTGACTACAGGATCGCGTTATACTCTTGAAGGCAGGGCTGACGCATCCTCTAAGTTTTTGTTCTGATAAGACAACGACGCGAATAGTTTATTCTTTTGCCTGAAATATTCAGAGACACGCCGTGTATACTGAATGAATGAATGAATGAATGAATGAATGAATGAATGAATGAATGAATGAATGAATGAATGAATGAATGAACGAACGAATGGATGTGTGAATCGCTCCGGCCAAAGTATTACCAAAGGGGTGGATAAAGGAAAATAAAAAAGTTATTCACCGAAGAACAACGTAAGTCGTGGACAAGCCGTTATAAAAGGAGTAATAGAGACAGACAGACAAACATACAAATAACTTTATTATTGACAGACAAAGAACTTTATTGAGTAAACAGACAAGCTTTCAGATTTATCTATCCGTCGTGCAATGTTCTCCAGTTTTGTAAAGCTGGCTTTGTGCCTTTACGTCAACAAGTGTGGCAAAGCCTTATTGTTTCACCGGATTGGTTGGGATACAGTGTTACTTGTACTACATACTTTTCCCAGTTTCTACTACCAAGGTTTGATTATGTCCAGATAAGACCTTTACTACAGCATTCCACCTTAAACGCTCTCAAAAAGTACTTATATAGAGGCTTGTCTGATGTAGTGCGTAAGCTTGTGAGAGTTAGTTTTGCCTGCTTAAGACTAAGCGTGTGGCAAAGCCAACTTTACTTAAAGACTGGTATACAGGATTGTGTTTTCAAGAATGTGTTCTTTTTTACCATTACTTTTAAATAACTCTAACATTATTTTAACGTACTTTTACTTCTGGTGTAACACTCATAGGCCATTCAATATTGGTTACTGCGCAGATAAAATTCATGCACATGTTGTAATCCACTTAGTGCCTGCAGGTCAGGTGAAATTTCTACGTTCAACTTTTTCTCGTGGTGCCTCTGTTGTGCTGAAGGTAAAACACTTTCCTAGGTACTTATTTAGGTAACGAAGGATTCAAAAAGTAAAGACGGGCGACAAAGACGCCAAACAATTAGGTGCAACGCAATAGCGCAGTATCTCTACACTTACCTTAAAGACATTTCAATCAATCAATCAATAATTATTGTGCATTAAAATTCTAGTTACAATTGGTGATTATAAAGATACAGAAAATAGTCTTAAAGTCAGCAGATCTCTACTTTGTGGGGATGTCGTATTGACAGTCAATCTATAAAGTAATTAGTTAATCACTGGAGCAATCAATCAATTTTTAAGTAAGTCAGGGCATGTAGAAGAAATTCTTCTGTGAAGAGCACCTTTTAAATAGAGAATACTACAAGGTTTCTACGCACTTTTATAATACCTCGCCAATTTCGCAGAATCTTTGTCCCATTGAAAAAACACCGAAAGGTATATAATTTGCGGTAGCGGGGAGCTCAAGCTGTTTTTGTGGTTGACCTGCGTCATCTTTTACCGAAGATAGCGGCGTTCGGACGACACCAAGTTCGTTTTATGCTACTCGCCGCACGAAAGATCAACAGGTCAACACCTATATCAAAGAAAATCTGGCCACCTGTACGAGGCAGCAGTCTATCACCCGTCGCAATGGTATCATACACGCTGAAAAGGGGCCAACTAGGCTCTCGACAATGTCACTACGATAAAATACTGCCGTGGCACTTTTGATGCGCATAACACAATCAGGCCCTTTTCCAAACGCGTGGCACAAAAGATGGTCTTTTTTTCACTCGCGTACGCAACCACCGACAGCCGGTGTTTCTTTACGGTGACGTGGGCGCACAAAAGGTACTGCGCTCTTACGGCCGGCTGCGGCCCTACACCATTCTTTAGAAAGCGGGACAGAAACAAACTCCGGAAACGAGTGCCTTCCGTTTTGTCATGCCACTGCTTCAATTGCGAGATCCTTGTCGCGAGTCAAGACTGACTGCGACGTCCCACCAACAGCGTAGATGCTTGCCTCACTCGCCAAGAGTTTTTGCGCCAGCCGCCGGAGTACAAAAGGAGAAACTCGACAAATCCCAGCGAATGGGGGAGGGGAAAAGAGGGGCACTTTTTCCCCTCTGTGTTCGCATGGATGAGAGAATGCGGTGGTAAAGGTATGTATAGGAGGGAAGGGAGCATCGGGCGAGGAGAAGGACAGGTAACGGGAACAAAGGTTAAAAGTGGGAAAGTGGGAGAGGACACCGGAGAGAAGGGCTCCTCGCCATCGAAGCCGCCGCCGTCGCCGCTTTCGCACGGGCCCCGGATTGGTGCGCACCGGAGCCCGGGCCCGTTTCGAACCGTGCTGTTAGCGCGCTCGTGCTGGGAATCGATTGGTCGTGAGGGCAGGCGGCGCTGCCGGCGGCGGCCTACGTCACGCGTGACGTCACCGAGGGGGGCTCCCGTATGTTGGGGCAAGAGGGGGAGTGCGTGGGGGGATAAAAGCGCAAGTGGACCAATGGGACAGGGCCGCCAGTGATAAAGGAACCCGTCGGTGTCCCGAAACTCCCCAAGTTTGACGCCATTCAGGACTGTGGTGTGTGTACGGCTGCACGAGGCACAGCGCCGCGTGTACAGCAGGATCCCGGTTCGCACCAGTGGCCCAAACGCACGGCGCAACAGTAGAGCTCTACACGGAATCGGTAAGTGTGTGCGTTTGTAGTAACTTTGTGTACACGTGAGAGTTAGTGAAAAGGGCCAGAACTTCTCCACAAGTTTTAAACCACTGGCGGCATTTTCTGACGGCCGCTGACTTCACTTTCTTTAGCACGTGTAATGGTCATTGCATAGTCAAACGCTTCGGTTTGTTGTCAGCATCGGCACTGATTAGTGGCATTCTTTCTTAGTTTCGTTGGTTAATTATCATCGCTTTCAGCTTCGTGTCAGCGCACTGACACGCACTCTCTCTTAACTACCTAGGTGTGATGAAAAAAAAATTGCTTGCGCTATCACGTTTCCCTACCACAACACTCGCACTTTCAAGTGGCGCGAGAAAATTGTGCAAAAGCGGCTTAGCTTAACGCTTAGCCTCAGTCATTTTCAGCTGCATTTCGGCATGGCAAAACTGTGTCAACTCATAGCCTGAAAAAAAAAAACTGATTTTTATGTTTTCTTGTTGCCAAATATTTATTCACCACGTGGCTGTACTTCATTGGGCGTTCGTAAACACTGACACCTGTGTTTTTTTTAAAGAACACCTTTGGTTTCACTAGTATATTCCGCCACTACTACATGGTCTTCCTAAAAGATAACTGATAAATTGCGCTTTCCGACACAGATGTTTATTGTAAATGACAAATCTCGCGGAGCGTGATTTTTCTACCTTATTAAGAAGTATTTATTTGCAAGCTATTATCATTGCGTCTGCTTTAATAGTGTTACGTAAGGATGTCACATAAACAATTCATGTCACATAAACAATTGTACTGGCAGCCACGTAGGAAATATTCGGCACTAATATTGCAACACATTATATTCAGTCGTTCCTAGCGACACTTGTAGTTGGATATGTTATGCTTCAAATCATCTTCCACGGCTGGTTAGAGGCGTTATGAAGGAAGTGCAGAATAATGTGCAACAAGTCGGGAAGTCCGGAACCTACTTTTCTTTCTGCCCCTGCGTTACGCTCTAATTGCCTGCTTCTGAAAAAAAAAATTGCTTTCACAAATTTTATGCCTGGTGTAAAACTTAAATTTCTGGATCGTTTCTGAAGTTATTGTTCGTTTATTTTTGCTGACAGGCTGACACCGAGGCTGCGTCAGGATCAGGACAGCATAGATAAAATAAAAAATAATGTCGGCAGAAAGCATTAACAGGCCATGCTGCGCTTTCTCTACTCTACCACTACTCTACCTGTGGCCTTTCATTTGTTATTCGCTTGAAGCTTTTTGTTTTGTTTTGTTCTTCTTGCTTGCTCTAAGTTTTTCTCAGATGCCATTTTTTTCCATTGCCGATCACATACTGCAATCTGATCTTTCCACGCTTCAAAAGTAAATAAGAATGTTTATTACGACAAAGTTCGCTTTCCTATATACACTAATGTATGAGGTATAATAGCAATAGTGTTCAAAACATTTATTTATTACAAGAATATTAGGTCGAAGAGGATCATTGCAACATTCGAACGTTAAGCAATGACAAAACCGAAAAGAGTTCCTGTTGCAAAAGCCAAAATATTTTATCAAACGTACGCAACGTTCTCTTCAATATAATCGTAGTAACAGAATGTCAGTTTAATAAGAAAACAAAAAAAAAATACTTCGCTCTAACTGTGTACCAGTTTGATTACACCAACGAAGTGTTTCTGCAAGAACCGGTGTCATTTATGAGTAATATATCTTTATTCACTCACTAAAAGCTTATGCATCTAAACACGCGAATAGCTTTTAAATTTTTTTTTTGAAAACTCGTCGTCCTCTTGAATACTGAAAGACCGATAAGTGACCACGCGGTAACACTAGAAAGCAACCAACGCCACAAGTGTCATGTAAAGAGATCAGTTTCTAATTAGCAAATCAGCATTCACGCAAATCACAATTCGAACATAAATCACTGAGGCTTGATAAAAGAAATTTCGGATGACACCCAACTCATATGTTCAAGTAATGGTCCAAAAATTTTACCTATAGGCTGTCGCCCTTGTTCATGCCGAGTGTAAGTTACACTGCGTCATTTAGTACAACGCGGTGATTCCAATTACCAATGTTCGAAAATTTAGGCTGGTTCTGGATTTTATTATAGGATGCTTGCGTCAAGCTATTTAAACGCTCAAACACAGGAAAGGCGCGCCAGTTGCAATCGCTTCTCAATATATGCACACTACAACAGGCTGAGGAATTCATGAGCGTAAAGGCTTAGTGGGACAGGAACAGTTTCCATAGCGGCAGAGAGGAGCTGCTGTCTCACTGCACTTGCAAGACGCAGGGAACTCGAAAGAAAAAAAAAACACAAAATGCAACAAAGCGATGATGGTTATTGATCACAAAAAGACAAAGCGAAGCATCTCTCCTCTTGCGTTCCTGTTTGAGGAAAGCACAAACCGGGCATACGAGGGGAACTCTATCTATGCAAATTTGATGCCCGGTTTGTCGCAACAGACAAAAAAATAGTAGTAAGCGGCAGATTTCAAGAATGTTCGAGAATGCACAAATTCACGGCATGCTCCAATTCAAATAAAAAAATACCTTTTTTACACTTTCGCTTCTCCGAGTCCAAATAGGCGGGCTAGATAGCCTGTCTAGGAAGCCAGTAGAGAAAGAAAAAAAGTTCAGAGCGTGACCAATACAAGAACAAAAACTCCCTTCGAGTTTGTTTAACAAGGCGGCAAAACGAAGCAAGATCGAACCCGTAAAACGTCGACCTGACGGAGCTCAGCGTTCGCTTTGAAAATAGTCGAAGCACGAAAGGTGCCGCGAGCTTATTGCGCTGTGGTAGAGATTGTTTTTTGGGAGCGCAAAAATACGTTAACCTTCCAGCGTAAGTGGTGGCTGTTAGGGCGAGTTCTCGTCGTTTGCAGAGAGCAGGACTGTAGAGGAGGTGATGGGAGAAGGAGAGCGAAGCAAAGGTGTGGCTAAGGAAGGGAGGTGGTTGTTCGCCTCCCCTTCCACCCATGAAGTCTTTGGTTTTGCTTGCGTATATAGACACGCACATATGCAAACATGCCCACGAACATACATGAAATATGGTTCAGCCCCCCCCCCCCCCTCTCCCCGAATTTTTCTGGCTACGCCTCTCGGGCGAAGTTAGTAAATATTTAAAATGAAAACAGTAGGATGTAAGCTTGTTATACTAAACAGCTCCTCAACCGCTTTTCTAAGTAATGATCGAATGACCTCATTCCTAGAGTTTATAGTCTCACGAATCGACTGCCGGGAAAATTTCTCGAGTACGTCTAGAACGTTCGGAGTTGCAGATACTAGTCGCATGCTTATAGCGCTTTCTCTGTTGTCTTCACCCGGACGAGCGCGGGGAAAGTTACGCAGGAAGGGATGTCACAGGTAAAGAAGCTACGTGAGCACGCGTCATGACGCTCGAGCACACGTCATGAAATGCGATCGCACTTTGCCGTTGCAATTCTTGCTCACCGTAAAGCGGTGGCTGTGTTTTTTGGCTGACTACAGAGCGGCTTTCCCGAACTTATTTTATGTTCGTATATAAATGGCCCACGACGCTTTTTTGTGACGACTGTGGTGCAGGGGAGACTCTGCAGCACATTTTCCGCGCTGCCCCTGTTTCAAAAGTGAACGACGTAGGGCGTATTGGTGCTGCATGATGAAAGAAAGAAAAACAAGCCTTAAGAGACGAGAACAAGAAATAACGACAGAAGATGATGTTACTACTACTACTACTACTACTACTACTACTACTACTACTACTAGTAGTAGTACATCATCTGTCCTTCTTTCTTGTTTTCGTCTCTTAAGTGCTGGTTTTCTTCCTTTTATATACGCTGCGCTGAGACGATTACTAGCGATCGCTTCTAGCTCGCTTTGACCACAAAACGACATTGCTAGCAACGATCCTGGAATGTCATCCTCATAAGGTCGTCAAGCTGAAGACAACGAAGGACGCTGAAATTTCTAAGAACAACAGACTTACACTAGCGGCTGTAGTCTCATAGCGATGCCGTATACCGCACTAGACTGACGAAATATTTCATGGCAAGTGTCCGCTCTCGCTTTCTCTTTTTCTCGCGCATTATTGTTCCAACACCTTCGTTTGTTTCTCCAGTGCAGGGTGACAAACCGGCGATTCTAGGCTGGTAACCAAACCTGCTTTTTATCTCTCACGTGTTTTCTATCTCTTCCTTGAAAGCAACAGGATATATGTGTTCTTCAGCTAGGTTTAGCGTTCATGAGTCTTTCCTACTCGCGTCTCTGACAAATTACCTGTAGCCTAAAACAAGATGCATGCTAACTATGGGCTGAAGAGCACTTCTTTCCACAGCCAGGTTGCTTTAGCCGATGCATCATTTATTAGGTTCCCCTCTCCAGAACATTCTTTCTCGAGTCACTCCGCTTCGCACGCTTTTGTTTATCCAATAATTGCGCATACATATTTAGTTGCGCCTTCTTCTATGCCAGAACTTTTGGTACACCATTGCACCTCGGTGATATTCAATCACCCTTAGCCATGTTTACGCCTATTTTCGGAACTGCTTTCATATGGAACGCACGAATGACAAATCGTACTCATGAACTGCACTAAATCAAATGTAGTCAAGAGAAAGTTCACCGTACATTGTTCTACGTTCCGTCCAATTGCTCTCATATCCGAAACAAGATTAGCAGTGACTGCGAACTTAACGAGAACTGTAACTCACTCTGACAAAAAAGGCAAAAAAAGTTTTATGCGAGAGTATTTAAGCAGGCGAAAGCACTTTTGTTTGTACAGGCTTAACGTTGCGCCAATCAGACTTTCTGTTTACAATGTCTCCGAGACAGAATGCATGAAAGATACACGTGTACACAACTACGCTACAGACAACTTTAATCATTAACATAAAACAAAAGAGCATAGAGTTTGTTCAAACAGTGTTCAAATAGAGATTTCGATCCCGTTATTGCTTTCTTTGTTTTTTTTTTTTTCAATGGAACGCGCTGCAACCTGCTGACGCAATCTGGCTGGTCTGATTCATAGAATA